ACTTTGCCTTAACATTATCGCTATCAAAAATCACGTCAGAGGGGAAACGAGGCCAGGGACGGGACTGGGGCAGAGCGCGTGCCCAGCAAGGGTGACAGCTGGTTCCCACCAGGGCATCAGGGCAGAGGCTGCAGGGGCACGGCCTGTGTGCTGTCCACTGAGTCTCTGAGGCCCAGGACCGGCCTGGCCCACAGGACCGGCTGGGAAAGCGAGTGTCCCCGGCCTCCTCTACCTCCCTGGCCTCCCCGTGTCCCCGGCCTCCCCACTCCCTCTCCAGGGCACCAGCAGGCAGGGCCCAGGAGGCTGCTCAAAGTCTGGACAGTGTTGGGGGACACTGTGGAGGCCAGGCAGTCCCCACCCCCCGAGGGATGTGGTGTGCGGTGCCACACTGGCCACCTCCCGACACAGGGCAAGGCGCCAGAGGCTCCCTTGTCCGCTGCTGCAGGAGCCCCACTGACTGGGAAGGGGAGGCTTCCGGCGGCTCTGGTCCCTGCAGGCTGTAGCAGGGTGGACAGCGGGTGACACCACCAGTCCCATTGGCAGTCGAACTACAACAGGCCCCACGTCAACAGGCCCAGCACTGGTGGACGCTCCAAGCCATCAGGTGTACACGGCGCTTGGCAGCCCGGCGCCCGCGCCTCCCCGCAGACAAGTGGCACCTCCCTGGGCCACCCGACCCGAACTTCCTGAGGCCACACGTGAACATCGTGCGTCCCCTCAGAGATGAACTCCGCAAGTCCCAAAACACTGCAACCCCAGAGACGCGGCCAACCTACCCCCCCACCGCTCCCACAGCCACCTGCGCCTCAAACTTGTACTGTATAGGTTCCTGGTGACAGAAGGAGGAAACAGCTCCTCCGTGGCCCAGGAGGCCGTGCTCCCATTAATGCAACCTGAGACCCAGACAGCCTCCCGCACCGTGGCTCCCAGGCCGTGCTCTGGCTTGGAGACATCAGCCTCTTGCACAGTCCTGGCCCTGGCCATGTCCAATTTGTGACAGCTGGGAGAAGGCCCTGTCCTGGGGGCCCAACAGGCCTGTACCCTGGCCACCCGCGCCTGTGGACCCGCCCAGGTCTGCAGGCCACCGACCTCCCAAACCCACATCTGCTGAGCCTCCCCCGGACCCACCCGGCCCAGAGCTCCGGCCCCATCTGCCTCCTGTCCACCTCCCCAGCCCACGGTCCTGCAGTGACCCCAGCAGGAGCGAGGCCCTGCCCGGCAGACACTCACATCTTGATGTTCTCGTGGTACTGCCGGGTGTCCGAGGGCTGGTTGTACAGCGGCTGCAAGGAGAGAGCAGAGTCAGCCCCGGGCAGCCCCAGGCAGCCCCGTCCACAGGGCCCAGGGCCCCGGGGTGAGGAACAGCTGTCCACAGGCCCAATGGAAACATGGGGACCCGGCCAGGAACAGACCGTGACCGGCTCCTCTGAGCCCGGTGACCCCCACCACAGGCTGATGGCTGCTCGGGAGGGGCCAGGGCCAGCCACGGCCACCGAGCAGGGGGACGCCCAGCTCCCCGGTCACCGCAGAGACCCAAGGCCCCTCCACCAGGAGCTTCCCCTTCCAAGGTGTGCGGGGCCACAACGAGGGTAGTGCCTGGCGGCCAGGATGTGGGCCAAGGGCAAGGCTCAGGTGGTGGCCGCATGGGCTCGCTGCCCAAAAAGGCGAGGACCCTGCTACTGCCCAGGCTCCCCGAGTGCCCCCACCATGAGCCTCGAGGAGCTGGGTGGCCCCGGCCCCTCAGAGCACCAAGCTGGACGAGCCAGACACCGACACTCAGGGACGGCAGGACACGGGACGCGAGACCAGCCAGAGCGCCAGGCAGGCGGCAGGGCTGAGCTGCTGCCCTGCGACCCCAGCGGGGGTCTGCAGATGGGGCAGAGGAGGGCAGGAGGGAGGCGAGCCCTGGGGGCGGGTCCCTTGTCCCATGGCTGCCATCTGCTTCACAGGTAGAATGGGGTTCAAGGCCAGGGTGGCACTGAAGGTCAAGTCAGGCACTGTCCCGGGCTCTGAGGCTAGCACGTGGCCACTGCCAGGCCTGAGAAGCAGCAGTGTCACCGTCCGTGTCGGGATAGATTGTGTGAATCGCACCAGTGTCCCGTGTGTCCCCAGCCCCTGCCCTGCAGTGGCCAGTGGGACAGAGTGGACAGCAGGAGAAACCAAGCGGGCATGGCCACCCCATCCAGAGCACAGGCCAGCTGGAGGGGGACGAGCAGAGCAGCGGGGGCCGAGCCGAAGACCAGCCGTCTCCTGCTGACCGGGAAGGGAGACAGACCCGGTTGGCACCAGGTGGCCTCTGCGCTGGAGGGATGGCAAGTGGCTGCGGCGTGGCGACGCCCACCTGGGCTGCTGTCCTGCGGCATGGCTCAGGGCACCCAGAGGGGACGGAGCCTGACCAGACCCGCAGCCCTCCAGTCTGTCCCTGCCCGTCCCTCCCGCATCCAGCAGGCCCTCCCAGGGCTTCCACAGATGACGCTCCCCTAGGGGCGACCCTGCCCTTCTGGACCAGAGGGACAAGGTCAGTGTGAGAGGGCAGGCAGGTCAGGTGGTCGGAGGAGACGTGGGGTCTTGGGGCCTCAGGGCAGGGGACAGGGCACACAGGTCCCCAA